TAACGTCTGACTCAAAAGTGGAGCTAACATTTAATCTTCGTTGTAAGCTGACTGCTTGTTGAGAAGAAACTTTTGGTGAAATTTTGAGTTTACTCAAAATTTCTGCCCCAGTATGAAGATGTGCCAGGAGAAATCTTGATGGAATTTTTGAGATCCTCTCAAAAATTCTGCCCCAGTTATCAATAGAAAAAGGGGAAATGAAAGTTTTATTTATAATAAGACCGAACCCCCATAGGAGCGCCTACGTATCCCCTCTTAAATGGGAATCAGGTCTAACGTAGTTCCAAATTATAAAAGAGCATGAATCAATCTCTAGATGTAATACTTCTTCACAGAATCTGAATTGATAGGTTTTGTCCAAACTTCTCCATCCATTTCTGCAAGTATGAGGGCTCCGCCTGTCAGTACTCGAGAGACTATGTACGGACCTTGCAAGTTCGGTGAAAATTTACCCTTTTCCTCGTCTTGATTTGGAAAAATCCGCTTCAAAACCAGTTGCCCAGGTAAGAAATGTCTGGGTTTAACCTTCTTGTTGAAAGCTCTGGCCATTCTATTCTGATAGAGCTGACCATGACACATGGCGTTAATTCTTCTTCCATCTATTAATGCCAAATTCTCTGCCCGACCTTGTATCCAATCAGCATCACTCAACTTTGCTTCTTGGATGATCCTTAGGGAAGGTATCTCTACTTCGGCGGGTATCACAGTTTCAGTGCCGTATACTAAGAAGTAAGGTGTGGCCCCTGTGGATAATCTGATTGTGGTACGATACCCTAGCAATGCGAAAGGTAGCTTTTCCTTCCAGTGTTTGTGATTATCGATCATCTTGCGCAATATCCTTTTGATGTTTTTTTTTGCTGCCTCAACAGCCCCATTCATCTGTGGCCTGTATGCTGTAGAGTTTCGATGACTGATCTTGAACTTCTCACACATTGATCTCATCAGGTCACTGTTTAGGTTGGTGCCGTTGTCGGTGATGATTGACTCAGGAATTCCAAACCTAAAAATAATGTTGTTTTTGACAAAGTCATCCACAACTTTCTTTGTCACTGATTTATGGGAGGTGGCCTCAACCCACTTGGTGAAACAGTCAATTGCGACAAGAATGAATCTGTGCCCGTTGGATGCTGTTGGCTCGATTAGACCAATGACATCCATGCCCCATGCTGCGAACGGCGAAGGTGAACTAGTGACATGGAGTTCGTAGGGAGGTACTTGAATCATTTTTGCGTGAGTCTGACATTGAAGACATTTCTGGACGTAGCGAATGCAGTCTGTCTCCATAGTTAGCCAATAATATCCTGATCTCAGAATCTTCTTTGCTAATGTAAAACCGTTCATGTGAGGGCCACAGGTGCCTGCATGTATCTCTTCGACCAGCCTGCGAGTCTCTCTTGCTTCGACGCATCTTAGCAGTCCCAAATCGGGACTTCTCCTATAGAGGATTTCCCCACTTAAAAAGAAGTGGGTTGCTAACCTTCGAATTGTACGCTTTTGTACACTTGTTGCATCTTCAATGTATTCACCACTCTTCAAATATCCTCTAATGTCATCGTACCAGGGCTTTCCATCAGGCTCTTCCTCAACATGGAAACAATAAGCTGGTTGTTCATGTATATGAATGTGAATAGGATCGATGTAATTGTGATCAGGGTGTCAAATCATAGAAGACAGAGTGGCTAAGGAGTCTCCAAATTCATTTTGGACCCTTGGTACATGTCTAAATTCTGTTTTGACAAACCTTTTACATAGCCTGTGCACGTACTCCAAATATGGTAACAACTTTTGATTTTTTGTTGCCCAATCACCTCGAACCTGATGGATCAATAGGTCTGAATCCCCTATTATTAGCATTTCCTGGACATCCAAGTCGATCGCCCATCGGAGACCTAATACGCAGGCTTCGTATTTGGCCATATTATTTGAGCAAAGGAATGTGAGTTTTGCTGATACTAGATAATGTTGCTCTGTGGGTGAGATCAAAACAGCCCTGATGCCGCATCCATTCAGATTTTTAGCTCCATCAAAGAACATTCTCCATCCATGATATTCTTCAGAAATGTCCTCTCCCACAAAAGCCACCTCTTCATCTGGGAAGTAGGTCTTCAGCGGTCTGTAATCATCGTCCACGGGATTCTCTGCCATGTGGTCTGCTAATGCCTGTGCTTTCACTGCTTTTTGCGTGACATACACTATGTCAAACTCGCTCAACAATATCTGCCATTTTGCCAGTTTACCTGTGGGCATGGGCTTTTGAAATATATACTTCAAAGGATCCATCCTTGAAATCAGATAAGTAGTATGCGATGAGAGGTGATGTCGTAACTTTTGGGCAACCCATGTTAGAGCACAATAGGTACGCTCTAGAAGAGAGTATCGGGCTTCCCACGATGTGAACTTCTTGCTCATATAATATATTGCCTGCTCCTTCCTCCCTGTTTCATCGTGTTGTCCCAAGATACAACTGAAAGCATTATCCAATACTGAAATATACAAAAGTAATGGTCTATCTGACTCAGGTGGAACCAATAAAGGAGGATTGGATAGATAGTCTTTGATCTTGTCAAATGCCTATTGACATTCACTTGTCCATTTCACCGCAGCATCCTTTTTTAACAGCTTGAAGATAGGTTCACAGATGACAGTAGACTGGGCTATGAAACGACTAATGTAGTTAAGTCGCCCTAAGAAACTCATTACCTCCTTCTTGCTCTTTGGGGCGGAAGATCACGAATGGATTTGATCTTCGATGGGTCCAATTCTATACCTCGACGACTGACAATGAAACCTAAAAGCTTTCCAGCAGGCACACCAAAGACACATTTTACCGGATTCAGTTTCAGATTGTACTTGCGTAGCGTGGCAAAGAATATCCGTAAATCCTCCAAATAATTTAAACTTTCTTTTGATTTGATGATGACATCATCCACATAAACTTCAATTTCCTTATGGATCATGTCATGAAACAAAGTAGTCATCGCTCTCATGTACGTAGCCCCAGCGTTCTTTAATCCAAAAGGCATCACCTTGTAGTTATAGACGCCCCACGGCGTGATGAAGGCAGTTTTCTCAGCGTCGTCTTTGTGCATCTCAATTTGATGATAGCCGGCAAAGCAATCCACAAATGACTGAGTTTCGTGCTTAGCACAATTGTCAATCAGTATGTGTATGTTTGGTAAGGGAAAGTTATCTTTAGGGCTAGCTTTATTGAGATCTCGGTAATCCATGCAAACTCTGACCTTGCCGTCTTTCTTGGGAAGTGGAACGACAATTGCAAGCCAAGTTGGGTATTCTGTCACTTGGAGTATCCCAGGATCTAATTGCTTTGATACTTCTTCTTTGATTTTCAGACTCATCTCGGGCTTGTATTCTCTAAGCTGCTTCTGTTTTACCGGAGGACATGCTGGATTAGTGGGCAGTCGATGGGCTATGATTGAAGTACTTAACCCTGTCATGTCTGCGTAGGACCACGCGATAATATCCCTATTCTCTATGAGAAACTCGGTATACTCGTTCTTGTCTTCTTTTGTCATGTGGATGCTTACTCGGGTTTCTTGTATCACCTCTGCACTTCCCAAATTCACCACTTTTGTGTCTACCAAATTTGGATTGGGTTTTTCCTCGAATTCCTCAACCCTTTTGATTAACTCCTCGGAAACCTCATTGTCTTCGACTTCTTCTAAGTCATTAATGTTAAGTTGAGCAGTCTCATTGTATGCCATAGTCTCAGATTCGACATTTTTATAATGAATTTTGCTGGTGAGAAAAAAAATAGCAAAAAATTAAATGTAAGACAAAAAATAGGGAAAAGAACTTTATTGATAAAGATTTGAAAATTTCATAAGTCCTCAATCGAAAGCAATACAGGGGACGGGAATTAAAATGTTTATTAAAAACTCTTTTATTTGAATTAAAACTTGATAGAAAAATATCTTCCAAGGCTACCCAGATGCTCGACGAGGTCTGGATGGAGTCGAGGTCCAGTTGCTGACGCTGATCTTTGCTTCCTTGCTTCCACTAGGGCCCCCTTTATCCTCCTCGTTGATCACGATGTTGCAAATCTTCCCCTCTTCTTTGGTTAGCGATAACCCCTTCAAGTCGTCTGAGATCTCATCAAAGTCGTCTGAGATCTCATCAATACTGCCTCCCATGAAACCTGCTGATCGAAATGATTGATACAATGGTGGTATGGTTTCTTCAGTGGATAGTAGTACCCATCTCTAGGTGGTTGCCAATCGAGCAATTCTTCGGTGGTGTACATATATCCCAAACCAAAAGTGGTGGAGTGTCGATCAGGCTGTATAGGTTCGACTATCCCTTGCAATTAAGCCCCCAAACCTTTCCCAAGCTCGAAACCGAACCAGGACATCATATCTATGATTTTTTGGTTGAACCAAGGTTGCAACTCAATATTACCAACAAGCTCGACTGTATGGTACATTTCACCATCCATATTCTCTCTTTCTTCAATCGTGTATACAGGATGCCCCTTTCCCCATGGACTACAACCTCTTCGTAATCCCATTCAAACTTCAGGCATTGGTGAAGAGTGGATGGAATCGCTCCAGCCATATGAATCCATGGACGAACCAACAATAAGTTGTACGATGAAGGGATGTCCAAAATTTGGAAAGCTATGGGGAAAGTGACAGGACCAATGAGCATGTCCAAGGTTATATCCCCAATAGTGCCTCTCTGAGAGCCGTCAAATGCCCTCACATTCATCTTCCATGTCTGAATTTTTGCACTATCCACACCCAGCCTCGTCAGTGTGCTCAGAGGGCAAATGTTTAAACCTGAACCTGCATCAACTAATGCTTTGTTTATAACCTTATCCTGATACTAAACCAAAATGTACAAAGCTTTATTGTGAGTTGTTCCTTCGATTGGCTGCTCATCTTTGTGAAAAGATATTTTGTAAGCCTCAAAGACCTGCCCCACCATTTGAGATACCTCTCCATGAGTGATGTTAGATGGGACATAAGATTCACCAAGGATCTTCAAAAGGGCATCTCGATCAGTTTTGGAAGATTGCAGTAACTCCAGAATTGATATTTGGGAAGGGTTTTACTCAGCTGCTCAATGACAGAGTATTCTTTAGCTTTAACCTTTTTCCAAATACTTTGATCCTCAAGCTCTACGACTGGTGCTTTGGATTTGCTAGAGCTTCCCTGAACCAAATTTTCAGAAGTGTAAATTCTTCCAGATCTGGTGACCCCTGTTGCAACATCTGTCTCTTCCACATTCATTTCTCTTTTGTTGTAATCCCAAGGTACAGCATGCGTATCACATTGTATTGGGGAGGATGCCTTATAGACAGTGAACGGTGGTCTGGGTGCAGCAACTTCTACTTCAAATGGGGCGAGTCCTTGCACTATTAGTGATGCTTGGGAAGTGGTAGACATGGCTTCTTCTGTTTCGACGGCCCAAATAGATTCTTCCCAATCCCAGACATCACCAGCTTCCACCAAGTTGACTTGATGGTTAGGAAGAGGATTATTCGCAATATTCGGTGTAGGATCCTTGAGTTGGATGGTTTTTGTATCAATCAACATTTGAACCTTATCCTTAAGGGCTCTGCAAACTTCGGTGGTGTGGCCCTTCATCCCAGAATGGTAGGCGCAAACCTTGTTAGGGTCGTACCATTTCGCGCGAACATCCACAGGTAATGCAGGAATTGGAGAGACGTACCCAGCCTGTTTCAATCTCTCATAAAGTTGTGCTATGGATTCAGCTAAAGGGGTATAGCTTTTTGTAGGTCTTCTTTCATAGGAAGGTCTGTTTCGGTAATTTGGTGTTTGAATGGGTGGTGGAGTTTGTAAGTGTGTTGGTTGAACATTATAGACAGGATATGAGGCATGCAAATATTGAGGAGGAGAGTTTTGGTAATATATTGGCACGGGTTGGGGAGATAAAGGGGGTGGAGCTGAGGGATGTTGAGGGTATGGGGATGGTGGGGGGTTTATTGTCTTGTGCCTCAAAGGGGTCCTAGTTCCATGAGCCATCATTACAGAACCTGTTTTCTTTCGACTCTCATTCATTCCACCAGATTGCAGAGCCTTTTTGGTTGCTTGTAAAGCCTCCAAGTTGATGATAGTCCCATTCTTTATGCCTTCTTCAATTCTTTCGCCTAGTTTGATGATTTCAGCGAAACTCTTTTTAGCCACCAGCATCATTCGGTCATTGTATTGTGGTTCTTGGGCACGGATGAAATAGTCTTTCATTTGAGATTCTTCCATAGGGGGTCTGGCCCTAGCCGCCTCAGACCTCCATCTTATGGCATATTCTCTGAAGGATTCACTTGGTTTCTTCTTCAAATTTTGAATGTAAAACCAATCAGGTGCGTTTTCAATATTAAAACCAAACCTATTCATGAAGTCAGTTGCCATATCAACCCATTTTATCCATTTCCGCAAGTCATGCTCAATGTACCATGATAGGTTCTCCCCAGTAAGACTCCTCATGAACAACTTCATGAGTATCATCTCATCTCTCCCCACCCCTACAAGTTTGTCACAATACATTCGTAGGTGGGCTTTAGGATCCCCAATGCCATTGAACGTCTCAAATTTTGGGAGCTTGTACCCCTCGGGTAGTTCTACATCAGGATGCATGCACAGATCCTCATAGCTCAATCCTCCCAACTTCTTGTTTCCTTCAACATGTTGTACCCTGTTGGTCAAGTTGTCTAATCTCTCAGTCAGGGTTTTTATTAGGATGTCTTTTTGATGGGACTCTGATTCATGGAGGTCATGAGTCAGAGGGGCAGTTTCAACGTATATGGGATTGGGATTGTTGTTCCCAAAAGTATATGGGATATTTGTGTTTGGGGTTGTTTCTGGTAAGGTTGGTTTGGTATGTTGGTAATAGTGGTGAAATGGAACTTGGGTATTTTGGGCGTGGGGTGGTGGAAAGGTATTTGGATGAGTGGGTTCAGGTGGAGATATATGGATTGGAGGATTGTTTGGCATGGCTGTTTGGTTAGGAGGATTGTCTATGTTTTCTCCAAATTGAGTTCCAGGAGAGATAGACAACTTGGCCAAATCACGCATGTGGGCTACCTCTTCTTCCAAATGCAAAATCTTGCACTCAAGTCTTAGGACAAGATCATTTTGAAGTTGTCCTCCCTCAGAAGCTTCTACCCTTTTAGTGGTGCTGTTGTCGTCAACCATTTTACCTTTGTCTTTGGAGCTTGCTCTTTGAGAAGAAGGAGAAGGGGGGTCCCTTTTGATCGTGTATGTGCCAGGATGAAGGATAGATCAACCTTGGGAAATGGGAAAACAATAGAATCAAAAGAAAAGAGTTAGGGGGTTAAGATAATATCACAATATCAACACGTTGTTTCGACATAAACGCCCTAAATGCACGGAGCCTCGTTGAGCCAGAGGTAGGCCTAAGCGACACATAAGTGATGCATAATAATATTTTTCAAGCCTTATTTGCCAATTTGGAGTTTAGAGTTAGACTATAAAACGACTTTCAATTATTGAAATAATTTCTATTTATTACATCAATCTAGAGATAACTAAAGGGATAGGGATAACACGTGGGGAATAAAGAGAAATAAATAATAAAAAAAACTTTAATCATGTTGCTCTCCAATGTTAGGCACAATCTGCTTCTTCATTTTTGGGGTAATGTCATAATCAGTTTTGAGGAGGTTGCGAGCCCATCTTCTCTCCTTTTCATCGCCAAAACCAGGAAGACCTCCTTCGCTCAAATCTCTATGCTCTGCATCTTCTAAAAGCCATACATAATATTCAGGTGTGCAGAAGGGTCGATGCTCTTGAACATAGATAGTTATCACATTCTTCCATCTTCGCAGTATAGTGTTCACTTGCGGTAATTCTGACCCAAAGTCATATCCATAGTGGCTCATGTGGGGTGGCAGAGGTATCATTTGGATCTGTCCAAATTGTTGAAGGACTCGAAATGGTGCATATGGTTGCACACCATTCAAACCGATAAGCTCAATGAAGTAAAGTTCATTTCCTCTTATGATGGCACGTCGTGGCTTCAACCAATAATACTTCCATTGGATTACAACGGCTGAGTGCTCCTTTAGGTATGTGAACTAGTCCTCCGTTCCCACAGGGGAGATAAAATGTTTCATCCTTAGGGGATGGTTGATAATTTTGTTCCCCATAGTCCCTCTAACAATGTCTACTTTATTAGCTCTTTGGTAGAAATGATCGACGGCCCAAAGTTGCAGCAGAAAGTTGCACCCCTCAAAGTATCTTTTGCTTTTGGTGCATGCAGTCAAAGCTCTTAGAATTTCTACAAGTATCATGGGGACCAAGGTCTTCCCACCTCGAGCCAACATACGAACCACATAACACAAGCCGGTGTGGATCTTTCCTCCTTCTCTAGGAAAACCCAATGAGCCTAATAGGGCGACGGCAAATGCATTAAGACGATACCCTTCCCATTTCGCAGAAGAGCAAGCAAATTCTCTATGAAAATTTTGATGACCTTCCTCATCCCCAAAGCGCGAATATAAGAACTCTAAAGAAATCCAACCTTCTTTCAGACAAAGCAGATTTGGATTATGACACATGCCCATTTGCTTCAGAAAAGATCTTGGGCTTGGCTTATGGGGAACAATCATTTCTAGATCTTTGTATGCGAGACCCATGAATCCTCCAACTTCTTCGATTGTTGGGGTTAGCTCAAAATCCTTGAATTTGAAGACTAACCTCTCAGTATACCAGAATTTCAACAATGCCTTGATTAAGTGACGATCTGACTCTACGGAGATCAAAGCAGTGAGGCCGCCTAACAATTCATTTGCTTCTAACTCTCGATTTTTTTGAATATCCTTCCACCAAGTCTTCAAAATGGGATTAACTTTGACCACCATTTGCATGTTAGGAAAGTGAGGGTGAGCCATGACTCTGCAAAGAAAGTAACAAACGACTTCTAAACTCCATTTTGGCAATGTTGGCTTGAATTAATTATTATGATCACGTTGACACATAAATATGCAATTTGTCTAAGGGTGTTGGGGCCCTTTAGATGAGAGGTTGGCTACTAATTATATGGATTGACGCCAAGGGTCAAATCACTTAGGGCTTATGCAGCATGTATGACTTAACAGGGATTCTAAGAGTGGTTTGACACGGACTTGAAAGGGATTCTATGCGAGAGGCTCGTGGCTTCGCGGTAGTAAAACTATCCACTACGTCCACGCATATGCCAACTCTCTATAATGGGTATTTGAATAAGATTGGAGTAGTTCTGAGAGGTGCAAAGGCACAACATCACGAGAACAATTAAAAAAAGAAGAGGGTCCCAATTGGGGGAAGTATGAGCGGGATGCCAATTATCAAAGCAATAAACATTTAGCATTTAAATTGGAAAGCGGTAACACATAGGAAGTTTATAAACAATAAATAGATAAATAAGCATGAATAAAGGAAATTAATCATATAAAGATATGAAAACTACGCAAATAAAGCAAAAGGATACGAGACTAAACATGTAAGCAAATAAGGGGAAAGGGAAGGGGTAAAACATGATAATAAACAATTAAGGAAAAGGGAAAGGGTGGAACATGGAGAAAAGACAATAAATAAGGAAACAAAATAAACTAAATATGGTATGCACCTAACAGATAATGAAATGACCAAAAATGACATAAACCCCACATAAATAAGCAATTAACACGTAATGGTAAGAACCTAATATCCCCAGCGGAGTCGTCATTCTGTCGCGCCCCATTTTTGTAGAAAATGGATTTTGTGCACGACCTAACAACTCTTTTGGGCTTTTGAGTTTGGAGTCGCCACCTAACGAATTAAGGCGCATTAGGGCACCTATCTAACCTAACTAAGTCTAACTAAGGTCAACGAACCAGAGATTAGGGTAAGGGTTCAAATTACCTCGAGGGGAAGGTGTTAGGCATCCCTCGAGGTCCACAAGTGTGGGTCCTGGCCGTATCTCATGCAGCCTATGTGGGGGTTACAATTAGCAAACAAAGCCACTTCATTTCATAATTTATTTAATCTTGCTAAGTGAAAAACAATTAATTCTATTTTCATTAATTTGAGCATGCAAGGCTAGGTGATAGCAATAAATAAACAATCAAGTTTTATTTTTATTTAAGCATGTGAGACTATGTTATAAACAAAATTTGTAATATTAAGCAATTAATATGTGAGAAAGTAAAGTTTTGAAAATTGCGCAAGTTTTGAATATGAAATTTTTATTTTTAAAAAAATGTTTGTTTCTTTGTAGGGATGATGACACGATATTGTTGATCGCGCTCCTCCACCATGGAAACAATTTTGATTTGAGGTCGGTCTAAAAAATAGTTTATGTTTTTGAAAATGATTTAAAAGATATAGTTTACATGTAGGCACATAAATATTTACACATAAATACACATAATTCCTTTTGAAACTCAAGGGTAGACGGTACTTCCGGGAACGCGTCGGGTATAAAAATTGAAACTAGACCTCGTAGTTCTTTTGACTTTCCCACTAACGATAGGTTAGGAGATAGTGCTTATAATTTATTTTCAAAATAAACAATGTCATAATCAATCAAAAGTTTAAAGGAAGATCGAATAATGACTTTTAAGAAAATTATGTTGCAAATTTTGATATGAAATATATTTAAAAGCCAAGTAATTTGTTAAATGCATGAAATGATTTTAATTTATTATCACTATTATTTTAAGAAAACAACATATTGCATCATAGATGCGGAAATTTTCAAGAAAACAAATAGGATTACTAATTAAATAATGTTAACTAATTTTAGGGGGAGGGCACAAATATGCACAAACAAATTTTATTTTTTTTGGATATGTTAAAAGTTTAAGCCTATAGACATGATCTCTAGGTGTTCAAAAAGGAAAACAGAGTAACACATATATGCATTTTTTTTTGTAAATCTAAATGATATGAACAATTTAATCCTTAGGCATGCCAAAACAATGCTAAAAGTTATTACACTTTAAACACCTAATCAGCCTACTAAATTATTATGATTTGTTTTTAACATTAAAAATTAATGGAATCTAGTTTATTATTTTTTTAGACTTATTAACAAAGCATCAAACAATTGATTGGATTATAATACCTACAAATAATAATTCTAGGTGCTTAAAGACAAACCTATAGGCATGATTTCTAAAAATTTATAATGAACAAGTAAGCATATAAATCCCCCTCCCCTAGACGACCCCCCAAATAAATTTTAT